AAAAATCTGGTGGGTACTGACACCTTCCTGCAGTACCAGGAAAAAATTATAGAACACCTGATGTTTCAAGAAGACCCCAGACAACCAGCAGAATCAGAGGATGTTAGGAGACTAACAGTAATACATTTTATGTGTCCTATCCCCTTCTCATTAACCAACAAATACCCTAGGAAAAAGTGTCGTGTGTGCGGCAAAAATGGCAAAAGAAGTGGTACTCGTTACCACTGTCCAACATGCCCTTCCAAATCAGGCCTGTGCATCCACCCTTGTTTTGAAATTTACCACTCGATCCTGCATTATTAAAAACCAGAAATATCAAGAGGGAAGAGTTTTAACTATTACCTTATTTCTTCCCTTCTATTAAAATAGCGCCAGTCATTTATGCAGCATTTTACATAGCGTTTTAAGTTAGTCCATAAAGGATAAATTCACCTTCACCAAAAAAAAAATACACATTTTTTTGCAGGTAAAAGAATATGCATTGCACCCATGGTCAGCAGATCGTGGGTGTAATGGCACGGTCCTACAGACTTGTCTGTGTTGCTGTCTGCTGAACCCCTGATATGGGCAGTTAGTTACACAATGACAGGAAGCATCAATGAACTATCTAGAGACCGCTACAGTGCCCTGGTAGTCCATTGAGGAGGGATCTTCTCCCCCCACTCGCTGTCACAGAAACGGGAGATCGGGGGGGGGGGGGGCAGATGTAACATGTTACACCCATATTGAGGGTGTAACATGTTACAAAAGGTGAACTTATCCTTCAAAAATAATATCACACTGCAGAATGCCTGTAATATATAGATTGAAGTGTTGCATTCAGAGAGGGCAATTAATCCAAATCGAATTATCAAACTATTGTTTTTGGATCCCACTATGGGTAAAAACAACATATATTGCGCACATATATAGTATCTCCATGCATGTCAGAAGTAGGAGAATTTATTTTGGGTTGATTTTTGTTGGTAGGTCATAGCAATGGCACTAAATATACAGCTAAATTAAAAAATGTGTGAAAAAAGAATGTCATTTTATTTTTTTTCCCCACCAAATCAAAAAGAATTCCTTCAAAAACAGAGAGTCAAAACCCAGGCTGCACCCCTAGATAAATATCTTAGGGGGTCTTGATTTCAAAATGGAGTGATTTGTGGGGTAATTCTGGTATTTGGATACCATAAAGTGTCTGCAATAAATGCATGGTGCCTGAAAACTAAACTTGAATTAAATGCCCTCTCAAAGGTAAAATGCACACTATTGATTCTGAGCCCCACAACAGGTACAAAAAATATATAATGCACACATATATAGTATCCCCATGCATGTCAGAAGTTATTTTGGGTTGATTTTTGGTGGTGGGTCATAGTAACAGCACAAAAAATATACAGATAAAATTTAAACATTTTTGGAAAAAAAGTTAGATTTTTGTTTTTCTCTACCAAATTAAAAAACAGAGAGGCTAACATCCCAAGATTTACCCCTAATAAAATACGATAGGGGGTCATGATTTCAAGATGGAGTGATTTGAGAAGTAATTCCATTATTTGGATACCACAAATTGTCTGTAATGAATGCATGGTACCTGAAAAGTGAACTTGGATTAATTGCCCTCCTAAGGGCAAAATGTGCACTATGGTTTTTGGGCCCAATAATGGGTACAAACAACATATAACACACACATATGTGGCATATTTATTCAGAGCAGAAATAGAAGAAGTTATTTTAGGTTGTTTTTTTGGTGGTGGGTCATGGTAGCAGCAAGAAATATATAGTTAAAATGTAAAAACTGATGTTATTTTACCATTTTGGGCCAGTTTTTCCTTTTATAATAAAACAAAATGTATAAATTATCCATTAACATTTACCACCAAAAGAAAGCCCAATGTGTCCTGAAGAAAACGAGGTATAAACCACTTGGATACACTATACAGTTGCAAAGATATGTACAGTTTAACTAACACATGTCAAAATTGCAAAACTGCATTCAGGCATTAAGGTTTGTTTTACCCTTAGGCATGAAGGGGTTAATAACACCCAACTGGCTGTATTGGGTGGGCTTAGGAGTCTCAGACTCCCGATCTGATCCACACTTTATCTGTATCCACCTTCAGTTCCATCTGCATACACACGCACAGCCCTCAGTTCTTCCCTCACCTTCACCTGCACATGTGCCTATCATGTTCTACATTTCCCTAGAAATTAGCATCATGGGAAATGCAGTTCTCTTTCCCCCATGAAGAGGGGACGTGTGGCTAGATCTACCCGAGAGCAGAGCAATTTTCAGTAGACCACTATGATGTCATGGTGCTATCAATCTAGATCTCAAAAAGTAATCTCTTTTCTGTTACAATTTGGCAGCAGTTTAACCACCTCAATATTGGACACTTTCACCGCCTTCCTACCAAGGCCAATTTTCAGCTTTTAGTGCTGTCACAATTTAAATGACAAATACGCAGTCATACAACACTGTACCCAAATAAAAATGTTATAATATAATATAATGTGAGACAAATAGAGCTTTCTTTTGGTGATATTTCACCAATACTGTATTTTTTATTTTTTTGCGATATAAGCAAAAAAATACTGAACATTTTGAAAAAAAAAACACCTTTTCTCACTAATAAAATTTTGCAAATAAATATCCTTTCTTCATAAATTTAGGCCAAAATGTATTCTGCTACATTTCTTTGGTAAAAATAACCCCAATTAGTGTATATTGTTTAGTCTGTGTGAAAGATATGAAGTCTACAAACTATGGTATATATATATATATATATATATATATATATATATATATATTTTGAAAATTGATCTGTCCTGATGTACTGACTGCCTATCTCATTTATGAGGCCCGATAATGCCAGGACAGTACCAGGGGCGGACTGACAAGTCATGGGGCCCCGGGCAATAGGGGATCATGGGGCCCCTGTGTCCTTGCCCAAACTCAAAAAAACCTATGAAAAAGGTACCAGGGGCATCTCATGGGGCCCCCTACTGACCCCGGGCCCTCGGGCAGTGCCCGAGTTTCCAAATGGTCAGTCCACCCCTGGACAGTACAAATACCCCCCAAATAACCCCTTTTTGGAAAATAGACAGTCCGCATTATTTAGTAAGAGGCATTGCCGTTTTTGGAAGTTGTAATTTTTTTGTCACAATGTTTTTGGGAAATTAAGAAATTAAATAGAAATTGTTATTGTTAGTTGTCATTTAAGTTATTTCTCTCACACATACTTAGAAATACACCCCAAAACACAGTCTGCTACTCCTCCTGAGTAAAGCGATACCACATGTGTGAAACTTTTCCACAGCCTAGTCACACAGAGGGGCCCAAAATCCAGGGAGCACCTTCAGGCGTTCTAGGGGGATACATTACACATCTAATTTCCTGACTACCTATCACATTTTTGGAGGCCCTGGAGCACCAGGACAGCGAAAACACCACAAAATGACCACATTTTGGAAAGCAAACACCCCAGGGTATTTTTAGGAGGTATGGTGAGTTTTTTGAAGGCACAAGCTTTTGGAAAATGCAGAAATAAAATAAAATAATTTTTTTAAACAAAGTTGTCAATTTAATAAGATATTTCTCACACATAGCATGGGTATACTTAAAATTTCACCCCAAAACACATTCTGCTACTCCTAAGTATGGCGATACCACATGTGTGAGACTTTTTCACTATCTTGTGTATCACACAAATTAACCAATTGTATAAAAGCCAATATACTGTAATATGTGAAAAGTCAGTGAAGATAGGCGCTAGCCATAAATGTGAAAATTCCACCTAAATATAGTGAAAGATACATGTAACAACACCTAAATATATACAATAATGGAAAAATGTACATTAAAAAGTCCAAATAATTAATAGAGAGTCACCAAATACCATATTCTTGTGACCATAGAAATAAATTGACCAAATCTTCTTCAGGGTCAACAATGTTCCATCACCGTGTTCAGATAAATTACGCACTCACCAAGTAGCATCGGCCAACAGAGTACCCAGCAAGCATAAAAGACTAGATCTTGTGTATATCAGGTAGGATATTCACTTTCTTCTGCAGAATCCTTGAAGCTCATCCGCTCATAAACCACTATTACATCTTTTCCATTGTCAAACAGGTCTCAGAGAATGCCCAGAAAGAATTCTCATGGTGCAGTAGTTTTTTTTTAAAAAGTGAAAAATAAAAAGGACAAACTGTATGCACTCACACATTCAAGATGCCAAAGGGGGTACCAACACAACCAGCTCACTAGGGGGATCCCTTCCTCACGCCTCCACTAGTTACCACATGCATGCATTTCAGCAGATTGGATGTGACGTCAAGGGAAAGACGTGCACCTCAAGCCTCAATGCATTTTGCGCAAAGTGCGTCCTCAGGAAGCTCCTGCCGTCAAGCACATGTCACATGATTGGTTTGGCTGAATGTCAATAACCCCGGACTAACCAAGATTAAAAAGGTTTAAAAAATTCACGTTATAAAATATCATATTGCAAATTAACCACTTACCTACCAGGCACTTATACCCCCTTATTTACCAGGCCAATTTTCAGCTTTCAGCGCTGCCGCACTTTGATTGACAATTGTGCGGTCATGCAACATTGTACCAATATGACATTTTGATCATTTTTTTCTCACAAATAGAGCTTTCTTTTGGTGGTATTTAATCGCCACTGGGCGCTTTACTTTTTGCGCTATAAATAAAAAATTGCAAACAATTTGAAAAAAAAAAAAAAAGTTTCTTTGTTTCTATTATAAAATTTTTCAAACAGGTAATTTTTCTCCTTCACTAATGTGCGTTGATGAGGCAGCACTGATGGGCACTGATAGGCGGCACTGATGGGCACTGATAGGCAGCACTAAAGGGCACTGATAGGCAGTACTAATGAGGTAGCACGGATAGGCTGCACTGATAGACAGCACTAATGAGGTGTCACGGATAGGCGGCACTAATATGCAGCACTGATAGGCGGCACTGATAGGTGACACTGATGATGGGTACTGATGGATGGCACTGACTGGCATCACTGCTGGGCACTGACTGGTGGCAATGACTGGCACAACCACTGGGCACTGACTGGTGGCACTGACTGGCAGCACTGCTGGGCTGCACTGGTGGGTGGCACTGGTGGGCAGCACTGGTGGGTGGGCACAGGTGGGTGGCACAGGTGGGTGGCACTGCTGGGCACAGGTAGGTGGCACTTCTGGGCACAGGTGTGTGACACTGCAGAGTGGCACAGGTGGGTGCACTGCTGGGCACAGGTGGGTGCACTGCTGGGCACAGGTGGGTGATCTGCTGGGCACAGGTGGGCGGAGCTAGTGGGCGCACTGCTGGGCACAGGTCGGCAGAACTTGCGGGTGGCACTGCTGGGCACCGATCATCAGGGCACTGATCATCAGTGCCCTGATGATCGGTGCCGATCCTCGCTCTGACAGCTGCCGGTTCTCGGCAGTACTTTCCTCACGATCTGACAGTGTGAGGAAAGTGCAGCCGAGAACTGGCACTTGCATTTCCCTGTGATCAGTGTGTCATTGGACACCGCTGATCACGTGGTAAAAGGCCGCTGTGATTGGCCTTTTACCACATCACGTGATCAGCTGTGTCCGTAGGACACAGCGATCATGGAGATCGCCAGGTGCGCGCCCCCTGGGGCGCGCAGGAGAGCGCGTTTCTGGGAGGACGTCATATGACGTCCACCCAGAACTGGCCGGCCGCAGTGCAGCCGTCATTCGGCTATCTGCGGTCGGCAACTGGTTAAGCAAGCTGCATATGTTAGAGCTTTCCCATGGACTCAGTATACAAACATCGATAACAAAAAAACACATATGTATCAACTATAGTAAATCATATGTCAAATCCACACATACATACGAGTTTGAATGAAAGGGGGACTATAGTCACAACAGGATTTAATGTGTATTCTAATTTTAAAATATTGAGAATATCCCGGCTCGAATAGCCCTGGTTAACCCTGCTTATAGTGATCGATGCTTTCGGGGTTGTGGCCATCGTGGAGATGTATTGCATATATGGTGGTCATGCCCGAGACTGATTGGTTTTTGGTCTCGTGTATTTGGTCTTGTTTACACATTGTTCCATCTCTCCATATGCCGGGAGTCTTGGTATGCTTTGCTTCATTGTCCCATACCGGGCCTGTTGGCCCATCAGCAGAAGTTGGCTTCCTATTTGTTTTTATCGGCCACTAGAACAATTGCTCTGGCCTGGAAAAGTCTGTCCCTCTTCAGGGGGTACGATCACTCTGATGCTCAATGAACAGATGTCAAGTATCTGTAATCACTTCCAATAGAAATTCTTGAAAATATGGGAGCCATGGTTGACATATGCTTTTCCCACACTCCCCCCGGCTAGTCTGGGTTCATGATGCAGTACAGCATTGACGTACCTGGATTCCTGATTCTGGTCTTGTTTTCTTCTTCCTTCTTTACTCTTTTTTCCTCTTTATTCAGTGTTTGAATCTGTGAGGCAGTAGATACTTGCCTTTGGCTGGTATATTGTTGGTGTTATATCACTGTTTTTGTATTTTATGTGCCTTTAATGGCCCCTATGTGGGCGTGCCTTCTACATTGTTGATGTTACAGCACTGTTCTCTTTATTTTTCATGTGCCACTGATAGCCCTTGCGTGGTCGTGTCTTTTGCTCTGGTTTTCTTTGTTAAATTGTTTAAAAAAAAGTTAATAAAAATCATTGATATACAAAATACTGAGAATAAAAAAATACATTAAAATATATCAGCAACAAACCAAATTCAGGCAGTTCTAAAATGCACCACTTTTACATTATGTCGCATTGAATGTGTCAAATGTAAAAGTGGAGCTGATGAAGACCAACTCTCTTTTGGAATACAGCGAGAAAAACTGGCTCAGACAGATATTGTGGAAGTGTCTATCGTGCATTCTAAAAGTGTCGCACCATGAGCCAAATTCAATTACCAGCTCTAGACAGCTACACAATTTTGGCACATTCTTCACCACTTTTAGAAGAAGTGAGACAATTTTACCAAATTTGCCGGTACCAGACTTTATGAATTCCAGGGAATTCCAGGGAATGTGTTTACGCTGATAACACAAACAGTTCTAATTTCTTGTGTCTTTTACTGAACACACCTATTAAACATTCATAGTGATGGAAGAAAAAGTAAATAAACCCATAGACTAACTACTTTAAACAAAGCTCACTGGAGTCAGTAGTTTGCACACCTGGAATCCAATTAATGAAATGAGTTTGGAGGTGTGGTTTACACCCCGGTCACATCGGGTGCGACTTGGCATGCAATTTGCATGCCATGCGACTTGCAAATCATATGCCAAGTCGCCTATTGTCCGCTATTAGAGCGGTCATATCGGTGCGGTTCCGACTTGGTTGGAACCGCACTGATTTCTAAAATAGTGCATGCACTTTTGGTGTGATTTGCATAGACATAGACATCTGTGTCAGATGTCTTGCAAATCGCACCTCAAATCGCCAACTCACCCGACTTTGAAATCGTGCGTCTTCAGTATAAGTCGCACAATTTCAAAATCGGCTGTGAGCTGGGTGTTAGAGTTACTTTGACTGATCAAAGACATTTAAACATGTCGTTGTTGTTTCTCTCTACTGCCAGTAGGTATCACTGACACCTCTGGCCATAGAGTGAGATGCCACAGTATTAGGCTCATTTCAAAGGGGATTCAGCTTGTATAAGAGCAGTGTGAGCAGCATGTTTTTTACAAAGCATTTGCACAGCTTTCAACAAATTTTGTTGAAGCTTGCAAGGTATCATTCAGCTCCAGTTTGTAAATATTGAGAACAAATTCCAATTGCAGTGCTGATTGCCACTTTAAAAAGATTGCTAGCAGGCTTCAGCACTAGTTGAAGAATGTTGAAAGCCTGCCAAAGCCTGCTTGTTTATAATGGAAATCCGCAATCCCATTGAGATCTGTGTATGACATTTTCAAACAAGAGCTAGCTGAAGAGCACTTTAACCACTTGCCTACCGGGAACTCCCCCCCCCCCCCCTTCCTGCCCAGGCCAATTTTCAGCTTTCAGTACTGTTGCACTTTGAAGGACAATTGCGCGGTCATGCAACACTGTACCCATATGCAATTTTTTTCATACAATAGAGCTTTCTTTTGGTGGTATTTACTCGGCACTGGGGTTTTTATTATTTGCACTATAAACAAAAAAAGAGCAAAACATTTGAAAAAAAGTTTTCTTTTTTCTATTATAAAATGTTGCAAACAGGTATTTTTTCTCCTTCACTGATGTGCATTGTTGAGGCTGCACTGATAGGTAGCACTGATGGGCACTGATGTGGCAGCGCTGATGAGATGGCACTGGTGGGAATTGATGAGAAGGCACTGATGATGCACTGAAATGCAGCAATGATGGGCAGTGATAGGCGGCACTGATGGGCAGTGATAGGCGGCACTGACTGGAGGCACTGACTGATGGCACTGAATGACGGCACTGCTGGGCACTGATTATTAGTGCAGATCTCCTCTGTCACATTTGCTGATTATTGGCAGTACTTTCCCCGCACTGGGACAGAGTGAGGAAAGAACTGCCGATAACCAGCAACTGTATTTACATTGTGATCTGCTGTATCATTGGACACAGCTAATCATGTGGTAAAAGGCCGCTGTAGTTGGCCTTTTAACTAATCATGTGATCAGCTGTGTCCTTAGGACACAGCGAACACTGACAGTGCCAGGGGCGCGCGTTCTGAGATGACGTTCATGGATGCCCTCCCAGAACTAGACAACCACGTTGTAGCCGTCTTTTGGCTATAGCGTGGTTGGGAAGCGGTTAAAAGTTTCAACAAAGCTTTCTGAAAGTTCTGCAACTGCTTTGTAAAAGTTTGCTGTTCACACTGCTCTTATACAAGCTGAAGCCTGTGTGAAACAGGCGTTACAGAGTTATAATTAATGATGTTTCCTCTGGCCAACCTGTGTGAGGTATATTGCCACTGGTGTGTGCTGGGAAAGAGCATAAATATCTGAGTAGAACCTTGTGAGCTCTCTCTTCCTCCAGGTTGTGGCCTAGGGATGTTGTGTTATGTGCAGGTTTTGACTAGGTCTGGGGTCTAGAAAGCTTTTGCATGTGCTCAGAAACAGAAGCCTACCTGTCCAGTGTGGTCTTGCTGCTGGAGGCCCTAGACTCAGGGAGACTTGCCGAGAACAGGAGTCTGGAAGGTGAAGTAATACAGTATCAACGGTGACTCTGCTGGAGATCCTGAGGTTAATGAATTTGTGGAGAGCCTGGAAAAGCAGCAAAAAGGATCAGTGAAGCTGCTGTTGCTAATGGAAATGCTGCTGCTTCTGGAAAAGGTACAAGTTGCTGGCTCCAGTTTGAAGGCCCTTTTTGCTTATACTGAGGTCTATGGATGGCGCCCAATTGTTACACATCCCCCACTTTCCAGCCAAGGACATAGCCCTGGGAAAATGCTAGCATGCACTGTCTGAAGGGGTACCGCATATGCCTCCTGGAGTGAGGGGGTGCTAATTTTATATGATATACAGTTGTTTTGTACTGTTGACAGCCAGGAAGTAATATTAATTCATTTGAAAAAAATTTTTTATTTCAGAAATGTTTTGTTTGTGAAAGTTGTGTTATCGTAAAGAACATGCTTTCTGAATATGATCCAGGTATTTTTTTTACTCTGTGCATTTTTATTAATATTACTATTATTATACAGGATTTATATAGCGCCAAAAGTTTGTGTAGCGCTTTACAATATAAGGGGGGACAATACAGCAACAATATAATTCAATACAAGAAGGTTAGGAGGGCCCTGCTCTTGTGAGTCTAAAAGAGAGGGCTAGTGAACAAATTATTATAACTGCGTGGAATGAACTGATGGGAGAAATAAGAGATTCAGTTGTTAGCTGAAGGCAGGATAGGCTTCCCTGAAGAGAAGGGTTTTCAGGGAACGTCTAAAAGTAGACAGAGTAGGAGATAGCTGGACAGATTGGGGTAGAGAGTTCCAGAGGATAAGAGAGGATTTGAAGAAGTCCTGGAGGTTGTGAGGAGGAGACAAGTGAGCAAGAGAGCACAAGATCTTTGGAGGAGTGGAGATGACGGTCTGGGCGATATTTGACTGGTGATGTAGCTCGTAGCAGAGTTGGAAATGGCTTTGTATGTTGTTCTTAAAGCGGAGCTCCACCCAAAAGGGAAGTTCCACTTTAAGGACTGCTTCCCCCCGCTCCCAATTAAGGATTGGCACCTTTGGGGGGCAGGAGCGGGGACCCAAATTTGACAGGTACCCGCTCCCACTTCTGGTCCGATCGCCTAGGCAATCGGAAATGGAAGGTGTCCTCCCTCCCTCCCTCCCTGTAGTCTTTTGGGACACACGACAGGTCACAGAAGACTACAGGACCATTCATGAAGTGCAGCGCTACTCATGCATGCGCAGTGGGTACCCGGCTGTGAAGCCGCAAGCTATCACAGCCGGTGCCTACACTGAAGATGCCGTTCTCCTAGAATATTGGACGGCCGGTGAAACAGGCTGCAG